AAGCAAATAAATACAAACACCGTTTTATTAAATGACTCATCAGTGAATAGAGGAATAACGCAACAGAATGATGTAAAAAAGTCAAAAATCTTAACTAAATTCCCCAGCAGTGTTACAAATCAATACTATCTGATTTTCTTACTGTGTTTAGAAAATTTGTTCCAGTCAACAATATCTCATTCTATTTACTGTGTCCACATTTAACACTGTTTTTATAAATTATCTCATTTTTTCTTGTTTTAGAGTTGGATTTGTATTAGTTTAATTTGTGTGATACAGTAGATAAACTTGTTTTTTTTATGAAACATGAATATGGTTTTAAGGTTTTATACTTCCAGTTATTCAGTATTTCTTTCCTTGTATTGTTCTTCAAAGATTCCTTGTTAGTTTTTGTGTCCTCGTTGTGTCACTTCCCTTTTATTCCTCAGTTTTTCCTGCTTTCAGCTCCACACTCACGCCTGCTCTGCAGCTCAATTGTTCCAACTCATTAACCACTCGTCCAGCAAACCAGCTGCCATTTTATTTTATTATTAAAATCATAATTTATTTATTTTTTATTACTATGAAAGCAAACTGGGATACAACTGTGATCTTATTTCACACAAAAAATTATCTCCTGATGCATATCTTAATAATCAAATGGATCTTTTCCAGACATAGTATGCAGTAAATTATTATTTTTGTTGTTGGCTTACTCGTCGTGTTGTGCTTTGAGGAGTTAGATGAGTGATGAGGCTGGAACCAAGTCACGTGGATCAAAAAGAGCTCTCCTTCAGCTCAAACTCTCGTACCGATGGGTCCACGACTCTTTGAGAGCCGAGTTGTTTGGAAGCTGCTCTTTTTGGTGAGCTGATCCAATTGAGCTAGTTCTCATAAAAGAGCTAAAAGTCCAACTCAATTTTATTGAGTACAGCTTGTGAAGACTTGTTTCTTTTACTCTCCAAAAGAACCCATTTTCCTGAGCTGTTGGACCCATCACTATCGCAGGCTTTCAGTGTAACTCGAACTGGATTCACAGACTTGAGTCAGTAACTTTTTACACCAAATTTCCATTTAGTAATCAAAATGTAAAATGTTACTGACATTTATTGGATAGTTGGGTCATTTTGAAATGGGGTTCTATTGTAAACCTAAGAACAATAAATATCTTACCTGTTTAGGATGGCCTTTTGACTTGATACTGACTTTATATTAGACAAATAGTTCAAGGCCAACAAGAATGGTAAAGTATTTGCGCCTCTTAAAACAACTTAAATTCTCAGAAAAAGTCAGTTCACTTGAAAGCTGTTTTTTATAAACTTTTACAATGATGTTAATTTTGCACTAGAAAGTTATTTTAATAGTTATGGTTTTGAAGCATCATATATACATAAGCAGTGCTGAGGTGGAGCAGGTCAGCAGCTTCAAGCTCCTCTGCGTTCACATTACTGAGGATCTGTCCTGGACATTACATACGACACTGGTGGAGAAAGCCCGACAGAGACTCTACTTCCTAAGAAGACTAAAGAAGTTTGGTATGAACACCGGCATCCTCACTAAAGGCTGCCACATACTCAGGCGTACTTCACTCTGCGGAGGTCCGCGCATACTCGAGGTGGACTTGAAGCGAACGCCTGCAAGCCACGTCCACGCAAAGATCAATTTTTAAGACCGCGTACACGCACTTGGTGTTGCACAATAAACTGCCCGGTGATGGACTGTTTTGTATGCGACACCAATGTATTAAATTCCCCTTCTTCATCCCTGATCTGGTTTAATGGCCTTTTCCTTTGTTTTTTGCCAAGATGCAAGCGATCTCTTCCTCCTCGTCCATTGACGCCTTGACTGAAATTGTAAGAAATAAAGGAATTTGTCATGAGGGAATTAAAATCAGGTCCAGCATGGCTGCGGGAGGGTCTGGAGATTTCCCAAAAGGCTGATCTGATGTGTGGGCTGCAGGGCCAGCACTCCCTGGCTTTAAAAATAATTTTTTAGAACTTTTTATTAACAACATATAAACACAGAACACTGCTGCTGCTTCTAGGCTGGGGCTGCCGACGGCTCTTGTTTTTTTTTTGTTGTTGTTTTTTTCCCCCGACCTGTCAATCAATCCACTAGACTTGTCAGCAAATGACCAATCGGCTATCTCAATTTGTCCCAAAGGTAAACGCCCCTTATCTGCAGAGCTGGGCTGCAGCCCATCAGGGTGGATACTTGAGTATAAAGTCTCAACCGTCTGCGGACATTGCGCACAGAGTCCACGTGGCTCACCGAGTACACACAGTACGCCCGAGTATGTGGGAGCCTTAACTTTTATAGGTGCACCATTGAGAGCCTGCTGACAGGGTGCTGTACAGGGTGGTATGGGAACTGCACCAGTCAGAGCTAGAAAGCACAGCAGAGGGTGGTGCAAACGGCAGAGGACATCACTGGTAGCAGTCTCCACACCATCCAGGACATTTACCACAGCTGATGTCTGCGTAAAGCACGCAGCATCGTTAAGGACCACACCCACCCAGCACAAGGACTCTTCCATCTACTACCCTCAGGCAGATGATACAGGAGCCTCTCATCATGAAAAGACTCAAAGACAGTTTTAATCCACAAGCTGTCAGATTACTGAACTCTTGATAATAATACTGAACAATTGACAATAACATTGCACCAAGCCACATCTGTGACACCTAATGTTTATTACTGCTGCTCTATGTGGCTGTATCATGTATGTCACTACCTTCCCAGTGTTCTATTCTACCATGTTGTTGTTTATGATATTTCTTTTGGACCTTGTGAACATTATTTTTCTTTTTGGTGCTTTATCTTGTACTTATGCTTTAGTAATTTTATATTTTATTTAGTGAGTGGAATCATCCTGGACTTTTCATTGCATTATTGATATTGTGTTAGCCTGCGTATATGACAAATAAACAAACACAACATCCGCTGGACTTCTGGTGCAGCTTGGAGCCGTTCTCCTGCGCGTCTGACTTGTGTCAGAACAGCCGTTCGTTTAAATTCACCAGACTGCTGTCGTTCAAAGAGCTATGTACAACAGGTAACATATTTATTGTTAAATGCTTTTATTCTGCATGCTTTGGTTTGGCCTGTGTTCACATTCTGACCACTAGATGACACCCATACACCACGAAATGAGCATCTGTTCAACTTTTACCTCTTTAATGTCAATCCTCCTGCTAACACTGGCACAAACGGCTCATTTAAAAAAAATAAAAATAAAAAGCTTCATTCTGTGAGAACTGAGATTAACTCACTGTGGCTCAGTCATCTCCAGATTTATCGACTTGCTTTGATTAATGGGGCCTCTCTTTCAGTGCGGTCGACTTGTCAGACATTTACAAGTCGTTTCCCCCTTTGTGCCACAGCTGAAGTGGACGATCCGAGAACAGAGGCCCAGTGAGTGTGAGAAGGCAGCTCATTAGTTGTCCCAGTCCAGCAGAGTGGCCCGTTTCTCCCAGGAGAACAGTTCAAGGAGCTGGGAAACTCACCGAAATGGCAACAGCTGCGACTCTGCATTAACCTGATGAAAAGTCAGCCGCTCTTCTCTTCGGCTCTTTCTTTATTAAAACCGTTTTGTCGGTCGGTCCCAGGAGGCCTCAGCCTGGCTCCCAGTCCATCTGTAGTCACATCGTTGGGAAGTTGAACTGGATAAAAGAGTTTCTGGGTCAAGAAATCGCTCCTTTCCATTGTGCAGACTGTATGAGCTTGCTGAGCTTTAGCTTCTCCCTGAACTTCAGCTCGTTGTTATGGGATGCTTAACTTTTAGTTTGGTTTTGGTTGAATTATGAAAATCTGATCTCAGTCCTACAAGGCTCCTGCTGGTAGATAAAAATTGATGCATGGCACAATTTTAGACAGCTTATTAAAATAATAATAATATAACTCTAAAGTCAGTGCAAGGAAGCATTTTGGGAGTTGTGCCACAACATGGGAGACATTTTGCTGTAAAAAACAAGATTTGAGTTTGTCTCCATGTGATATTGGTACAGATTTTTTATCATTTTCTTTCTCTACTACAAAAATTTAAACACAAACGTTCAATGAGGCTCCAGCTGATATATTGAAAAGAATTGTGCTCAAACAATGACGACGCATGTCTGCAGGTATTTTAAAGTGATGTTGAGCAACGTGTGTGTGCAGTAGTTATGAAAGTCCTCCAACATTTTTATTTGGAAATGCACATCTGATTTATTTGCATTGACTTCTTGTGCCTAACGTGGAAAACTGAACCACATTGTGTTTATTTATGACCAGAAATTTAGCAAGTTGCTTATTTTTAGTTGCACCAGCAACTTTTTTACAAAAACAAACCATTCTCATTATTTAAAAAAACACACCAAATAAACAGTTTATTGGCTACAAAAATAATATTCCTGCATAAAACTCTCTCAAAATATAAGAATGTACCAAAGATAGTCTCAGCATGGTCTGCAGCACATCCTGAGCAAAAAAATCAAAACTGGATCAAATACTGAGACAGGCTGCTCTTCTTGCTCACTTGTCTCCAGTTACAATAAAACGAAGAACAGGTTAAAGTGGGTCTACAAAAATGACCTTATAAGAAAATGGACATGCAGAGAAATAAGAATTGCAGCTATCAAGTGCAGATGATATTGAAGGGGACTCCATGTTTAAAGGAAAACTTTGAAGGATGTCCAGATATCAGTTAAAGGCCACTTCAAAAATACTTTTATGATCTTAGAAGCAAATATAAAGAAACAAGAGGTGAACAGGACTGCGAGTCAAACAGGAGTCCTTGTATTGAGCAGCACATGACTCAAAATGTCAAATTTGGGATGTTATGCATTAAAATAAGCCTTATTATTGTATAATTAACTTTCCAACCCCTGACGTTTCATCTGTTTCTGTGCAGAGAATAATAAGAACACAAGTAGATAATAATAATAAGGGTTTCAAAATCATCAAATCAAAAGTCACAAAAGCAGAGCCAGACTGATGTGGAGAGTTTGTCCAGATCACGTTTGTTTCTGAGTCCTATGGGCTCATGCTGTTGCTCCACAAAGTCTTCTTGAGGATGAGATGTCCTCTTCTGATCGTCCTGCGCTCAGAAATGGCCACGTCTGTGAAAACAGCACACAGCAGAGTTATTCATACATTCTGGCTTTTGCATCTTATGGTGGTTAACCTTAGGACTGCTGTTCATGCAGCTGGACAGCATCAGTCTCTTTAAAAAGCTGCTGGTAACGTTTCCTACCAGGCTGGCTGGGTGCGCAAAGCTCTCAAAGCGTTCGTCCTGCAGCAGCTGTCTGAGGTGGGAGATGTAGCTCGAGGCGAGACGGAGCGTGTCCAGCTTGGACAGTTTGGTGTCCGCAGGCACCCAGGGCAGGCTGGTTTTCAATCTGGAGAAGGCTTTGCTCAGCACTCTCATCCGCGCCCGCTCCCGCGCGTTGGCCGCGTTCCTCTGCGTCTGCCGCGCCTCCTTTGGCTGCGGCTCGGAGAGCCTGCTGCCCTCCAGCTTCCTCCTCCTTCCTGCGCCGTCATCTTCCGGCTCCTCATCTGATAACAGGCCGGGGCTGCAGCGGGAAGTCTTCCTCTTCAAACGGGACCTCCTGGGATGCGTCTCTTCCTCCTCAGCATCACTCGCAGCTGAGCCGGTGGACATGGCGGCTCCACACAAGCTTTACGCAGCAGTCACAGCAACTTGGTGACTGAAAAAGTCTTTGACTGACGGTTTCTGACTCCCAATGTTTACTAAATTCACAAACGAGCAGCCTCCTTAAATTCCCATTTGCTTGCCCTGACTGAAATCTGTCAGTGTCTGGTTCTGTGTCCAGCTGAGACTTGACTCCTTGTTTGGACCTCTCTAATTTAAGTGTCCTGGACTTGGCATCTAGCGTTTCTCCTCCCCCTTTTCTCCAACCCTCCATGGCCTCAGTGAGACCACATCTCTGTCTGTGTGTAAACTGTTAAAAGACCCAAGATGCTCATCTTCAACCAGATAATCCACTTCAGCGCTGTGAGCTTATGGCGGCTTGATGGTGACTTGTCTGCAGAACTGATTGCATCAAAGCAGCGCAAAGCTCCGAACGATGTCGCATCACAGGAGGCTCACACTTTCCCATTATTGGTTGCAAAATCTAGTTATGTGGGTTTCCAGTAAACACCTCAGCAGTGTGTTGCTCCTGCAGATGTTCTTTGGTAATAGAAATGTTTTGAGGACCTTATCAAAAGTGTTTAATCCTTTGCTGGTTTCACAGAGGGATTGGGTTTCTGCAGATGGAGCAGCCGTTCACACGCAGCCTGTGCGCACCAGCTGTTATGGGTTCCCATGACATCTGGAGCGCTGGCATGACAAGGGTGTGGCAGATGCAAAGAGAGGCCCCATCTTCCATCTCATAAAACATTTTTTTTTTTTCTATACAGTTGTATTGGATTTGTTGTGCACGTCAGACCTCTCTGGGTTTACTGAAGCCATGCAGGGAACAGTTAGTCTTCCATAACGTGGACTGAGGTCAAAACCTTGGAAAAACTTGTTCTTTCAGAGATCTAATAGTTTTATATGTAAATATTTATTAAAAAGCTTTTAAGATGGGAGTTGTTTTGTCAATTTCTCCAACGCATTTGATAGTTAATCATGAGGTTTTATTACAGAGGCTTCACACTATTGGCTTGTCAGAACAAGCTCTTCGTTGGTTTGACAATTATCTGACCAATAAATAGTGTGTTCAAGTAGGGGGTTTAGCTTCATCTTCTTTCCCTATACTCAATGGTGTCCCTCAGGGGTCAGTGCTGGGGCCACTTTTGTTTATTATGTATATAAATAGTCTTAGTGTAAATGTACCTCATTTGTACCAAAAATTTCATTTTTATGCTGATGATGCTGTTTTATATTGTTCTGGTCTCTCACCTAACAGCGCTTTTAATTAATTACAGTCAGCTTTGAATGTTTTACAGACAAATCTTTATCGCCTCAAGAGCTTGTTTTAAATGCAGATAAATCGAAGGCGATGCTGTTTTCCAATGGGAGATTTGAAAGTAAGGATTTTTCAGTCATTACTACAGCTGAGGGTCTGAAAATTGAATAAAAGTATCACAGTATAAATATTTAGGATTTTTAATAAACGGTAATTTATCTTTTACTTCCCACATTCAACAGCTGGTGAAGAAATTGAGATTAAAATTGGGATTTTATTTCGGGATCAGATCCTGTCTATATTTTGAGGCTAGAAAGCGACTGGTTGATATTACTTTTATGTCTGTACTGGACTATGGTGATGTTTTATACATGCATGCTTCTCTTAAATGTCTTTACTCACTGGATACTGTTTATCATGGAATTTTAAGAATTATAACGGGTTTAAAAAGTTTTACACATCATTGCACTTTATACAACCGGGTTGGATGGACGGCCTTGGCCATTCGTAGACTCCGCCATTGGCCTATTCTTATTTATAAGGCCATACTAGGACTTCTTCCTTCATATATGGGGGCCGAGATGGTGTAGAGGCAGGGCAGCCGGCTTGGGACCCAAAAGTCCCAGGTTCGATCCCCAGTCACTGCACATCACGTGGTGTCTCTGGGCAGCACACCTCATCCCCAAAATGCCTCCCGGGCGCTTTCAATAGCTGCCCACTGCACCACCTGGTGGTGGATGGGTTAAATGCAGAGACTAATTTCGCCATTGTATGGAAACATACAGTGCTGACATTGTGATGACATTATTATTATTATAAAGAGAAACTCCACCGGAGGATACTGTCTTCGTTGTGAGGACTTTTATTTTTACTTTCATTGCCTAAAGTCCAAATTCAACTTTCAACCAAGTTGTTTTAAGACGAGCCGTCTATCCATTCAGAATTAACGGCCCAGTTATCTTAAGGAATCTATGTTGCCTGCTGAGTTTTGAATGAAGTCTCTTCTGATAAAAAGGCACAGAGTTATAAGTGTTTGTGACATTATGTGCTTTCGTAGAGCAGTGAGCCCAATCCTGGTCCTCGAGATTATCCTGCAGCTTTTAGATGTTTCCCTGCTCTTCAGCATGTCTTCAAGTTCTGCTACAGCCTGGGAATCACTCATTTATCTGATCAGGTGTGTCAAAGCAGATTCATATCTCTGACTTTATCAATTTAATTCTAAGCCCAGGTGTACAAAAAAACACACGAGTCCACCATGCTTTTAAAAAAAATTTAATTAAACAACAATAAAACCAAAACGGAAAAGCTGTGTGTAGAAAATCAAATCCAGTCTTGCTGCTTCTACAGGACTTCAGAGGTTCTGCCTCATTCAGGAGCTGCTGATCAAACATATTGATTAACTGATCATTGTCAGTATGAGCTCCTCTATAAACGCAGGCGTTTTTGCAGTTTGTTGCTATTGAGCACACAACTGTGTGTTAACACAATGCCAAGATGGAACGACATCAGCAATGACCTTAGAGAGTCGACTGTTGCTGCCACTGTTAAATATTATTTCCAAACTGTATGAAGTTCATTATTTCACAGAGCGACAGATTATTCATAAATGGAAAACATTTGAGACATATGCTGATTACACCAGAAGTAGACGTCCCAACAAATTCACCCCAAGGTCAGACTGTGTAAAGCTCAGAAGAATGACAAAAACCTAGTAGCTCCACTTCAAGACGATGTATTGTTTTTATGCATTTTTTATGCTTCTAAGTGCTTAATGTATTTTTATTAACATTTTTCTTAGTTCATGTTTTAGATATTAATGCTGTTTTTCTTTTATATTTTAATACTTTTATTGGATGTAACTGGGACCCTTGTACATAGTTTTGTTCTGCCACATGTACCGCATGTGGTGGAACGACAAATCAAGAATCTTGAATCCTTGAGTATCTGAAATGAAGTTTCCAAAGGTCAACTGGCAGTGGAGGTCATTTTAAACTGGGTTATCTGTTTATCAGTTAGATGTACATCCAGTGGCTGCTTTCTGGACGTTTCATTAAAATCTGTGCAGAGGTTCATGAGATCGCTTCATGTGGTAATGGTACCACTTCTGGTGGCAGGTGTTTATGACCCCTAACATCTTTTAAATAAAGTTGTTCAGACTTGAAACTTGAGGTTTCATTTGAGGAACTGGAATTAGCTCAAACTTCCTGGATAAACGGAAAGTTTTCAGCTCACTTCTTCCTCGAACTATTCCTCAGAAAATCCTAACCTGGAAGTATGGATTCTGTCCTGCACATTGACTCAGATGTTATAAGCTTAATGCATATAACGGTGAGTGAAAAGCTTCAACAACATTCGAGCATTTGATAAGACTTTGCAGCCTAACTGTACAACAGATATTAAGTCTGGGAGGCAAACAGAGTTCTGCCTCCGACACCAGAGCCTGCACCTGTCCCTCTGCTTCTACCACCGATAAAGGTCAAGACCTCAGAAAGTCTTTGCTGATTGACAAATGCTTGCTCTCCCATCAAGTCAAGTTTAAAACATTTATTACAATTGGCTCTGAATTCAATTATCCCCAGAGCAAATGCAACAACCGTAAAGCTTTCCATCACATTCAAGTTTTGGACAATATTTTCTCTCGTCTTTGAGAGCAGATTGACTAACGAGCAGAAGCTTTTTCTCGACCTTTTTCCAGATGACCGTGAAGCAGCAGGTTGAATTATGTTGCACTTCATGTTGCCTTTTTGTGTATAATGACAGCTTGTCAGCTGCGGAGTAAATCCAATAGCAGAATCTCTTAACTTGCACCTTCAAGGGTGTCAGTCAGGCCTTTCACCTCGCTGACAGATGCAGTGACAGAGGATGGGCTGGCAGCAAGCCCCAATCTCGGATTTTCCGCACAACTTCATATTTCAATGTGCCGACTCATCCAATGTTCATATGGTCTCATGGGAAAGAAAAAAAAATTAAATGAAGAGAAAGGCATGCAATCAATTTGCTTTTGAAAGAATAAAAGGCTCATTCGTTGCTCATGGAAAAATGAGAAACTGAATAAATACATGGTTTGCATTTCATGAGAAAGATTTGGAACACCATCGCACGCTGGTAATAAACAAGCAGAACAAGCAACGAAACGGTGGACATTTTACTGGTGATGGTGATGTTAGAGCCAGGGCCGGCCGCAGGCATAAGCAAACTAAGCAGCTGCGTAGGGCCCCAAAGACACTAGGGGGCCCCCTAAGTGGAAGCACAGGTTTTATGAAGTTTGTGAAATATTGAAGAAGTAACATAAACAGGTCAAATGTGTGGGTAAAGGTTGTTTAATATTTGAAATTCAGCTTTTGTAATTTATTGCACATAGTTTTAAGAACTAATCATTCAACTTTAAATTTATTTTGTAAACCATTTTATGTGGTTTCAAGTAATTGTTCATTTACATAATTTAAGTATTTCCTCGATATTTTTTATTGCAGTTAATTTTGTCGGTTTTTGCACAATTTAAGTTGTTTATGCATCTAAGTTATTTTATCTGCTGTTTGTTGTTGATCTGGCACTACAAATTATTTTGAACATTACTGTTGCAGTTCTTTGAAACCAAAGCTATTAAACCAGATGACACTTTTGCTGTAAAATACTTTACATACTGGTGTTTTTTTTTAAACTTTTAGTACCACACATATGGGATAATGTAAACAGGGCTGTCAGAGTTGCAATGAGTTTATGTTAAGTGGGTGAATGATCTGATCAT